GTCCATAGACCGGCACCAGACCGTGGCATGCCAGCAACCGGGCCGCGCAAACAAGGGAAGCCCCATCCGCGGGATGCAGGCAGCACACGAAACCACGCCCCCTCCGGTCCGCAGAAAAATATTTCTCTATAGAACCGGTCCCTGGTGCCCCAAAAGTTGGAGGCCTCTGTTCTAGGACATTCCTCATTACCATTCTTAAGAATAACCCCTCCCTAACTCCTATATTTTTTTATTTCATGAATTTCCAAACATCCTCACTGGGTCATTCTTTCCACAGCGTAAAAGTTATTTAGCAGAATTTCCTCCATGTGCTATAAGATAATCCCCATGAATTAAGCAGCACACATCATACTTCTTGTTATCATTTTCAGAACAGTTTCCCTAATGCCTAATACTAGACAGCTGTTGCCTCTTCCTCTACAAATATCTAAGAAAACGCGCTCACAGTTTCCTAGATTATGTTCTTGTAAATTTTCATATGCATTATAGACAATTCCATCAAAAGCCAACTTTTAATTTACTTCAAGGATAAGAAGCAGTTTCATTAAAGCCGTTATATGAATGAATAAGGCTGAGCGCAAAAGAATGGAGGCCTTTGAACTCTGGTGCTGGAGAAGACTCCTGCGAGTCCCTTGGACTGCAAGGCGATCAAACCGGTCAGTCCTAGAGGAGATCAACCCCGACTGCTCTTTAGAAGGCCAGATCCTGAAGTTGAAACTCAAATACTTTGGCCACCTAATGAGAAGGAAGGACTCACTGGAGAAGAGCCTAATGCTGGGAAAGATGGAGGGCAATAGAAGAAAGGGACGACAGAGAGTGAGGTGGCTGGATGGAGTCACTGAAGCAGTAGGCGTGAGCTTAAATGGACTCCAGAAGATGGTAGAGGACAGGAAGGCCTGGAGGAACGTTGTCCATGGGGTCGCGATGGGTCAGACACGACTTCGCAACTAACAACAACAAAATCTCAATTGCTACTTTGAACTGAATCTGTACTGATTCATTAAAAATATGAATATGTTTTTCCCACATACACAGCAATAGCTCTTCTGAAGAAGCCAGAAAGGTAGTTAAATTTAGGAGGGAGGGGTAGTTCCTCCTACTTTTTCAAGCTAGGGAACCTTTAACATACTGCAGTTTCCAGTCAGGGAAAAAGCAACGACCAAACACACCTGTAGATGTTTACTCAGCTATGTAGTTTAAACATGCACTCTTAAGCCCAAACAAGTTAAAACAAAAGTAGAGTGATACTTTGATACAATCAATATTATGAAGATCTCCTCACCTAAACCTTTCTTGCATGATTCAGGGAGTGAGGTGTTCTTCTACCTGTCTTTTAATGTATACAATGTTTTAAGTTAAAGTAATTTAATAGTTTTTTTTCCTGGTTTTCTATTTTAGATACAGGTAGTCCTCGACTTACGACCACAATTGAACCCCAAATTTCTGTTGTTAAGTGAGACAGTCGTTAAATGAGTTTTGCCCCATTTTACGATCTTTCTTGCCACCGTTGGTTTATGAAACACTGAGGCTCTTAAGTAACACGGTTACTAAGTGAATCTGGCTTCCCCATTGACTATGCTTGTCAGAAGGTCGCAAAAGGGGGTCACATGAATCTGGGACTTGCAATGGTTATAACTGTGAAAAACGGTCATAAGTCACTTTTTTCCAGTGCCATTATAACTTTGAATGGTCGCTAAATGGACTGTTGAAAGTTGAGGACTACCTGTACATTAATTCAAGATAAGTCCAGCCAGAGGAATGAGAATGTTCCAAGTCCCTTTGATTAAACGGTGTCATCTGTTAGGGCACAGCAGGTGTGCCTTCTTTGCAGTGGCACTACAGCCTCCGGAATGAGATTCCCCTCTCTGAAGGCATTCCAAACTATTCTCTAGGACAGTGGTAGCGAATCTATGGCACGGGTGCCAGAGGCGGCACTCGGAGCCCTCTCTGTGGGCACACGTGCCGTTGCCCCAGCCTTACCTCCACCCGCGACCCCCTCACCAGCAGCCTCCCTGGAGGAGAGTCGCCCCTGAGCAGTCACACGGAGTCACACGGAGCAGCGCAGCCAAGGACATGGCAGCCAGGCAGCGTAGACAAGACTCTGCCCTCACGCCCCAACGCACACAGTTGATGCTGCAGGGGGTGGGCAGAGGGCATGGCCACCATGGTGCTGCTGGGCTGCCTGGGCGATCTGCAGCAGGCCCTGGAGGCGGTGAGTGGCCCTGTGGGCAGGCAGGGTGGGGCGGAGTGGGAGCGAGTCAGGGGGTGGAGCGGGGACAGGGCAAGGGGTGGAACGGGAGCGGGGCCAGTTTTGGGGCACTCGGTCTCTAAAAGGTTCGCCATCACTGCTCTAGGACCTTGGGACAGAGTGGACAGGCCCTTTAGATTGGTGTGTTGTCTGGACTGCCACCTTGTCCCTATTTTGTAATTCGTTTCGGATAACTGTACACTTATTTGTTTTATGTTGTTGTTGTTTACTTTGCGAGTTACTCAGCTTCAGTTCAAGTGGGGTGGCATCAGAAACTAAATAAATTTTAAAAACAAAAATATTTTAACACAGGAATCTGTTATAAAAATATATTAAATCAAAAATAAGATACGAGCCATAGCGTATTCATGAACAGAGCGTGCACTGTTTTATTAAGTTAACCATCCGATTGAGAGAAATTAATTAAACGGCATTAAAATGGCAATGACTCACAACTGGAAAGCATTTTATTATACAGTATCAATATCTGGACCTTCATAATAATAAATCACTAAATGAAAATCATCAGAATAAGCCATGTGATGAGCACAAATAGAACACAGCCACAGACTTACACACCCCTTGCCCTGCCTTCCTCCATCACACTACAAACAGTTCAGCTATGGGCTATTTTTTATTAGCTCTAGACATGCCTAAAAGTGGAAATCAACTTTCAAGCAAAGGGTATGACTTTGGCGCCACTGAAGCAAAGATAGTTGGGATTAATAGTTTAATTTCATGCATAATGCTAAATCACCCAAAACAGGACTGAAAATTTAATTCCTACAGTAATTTTTATTTACACTGTGTTAGTGAAGTTTTTATTATTTTGAATTAGCCAAAGTATGGGCAGCATATATAACATTGTAAAATGAATAAATACATTTCCTAAGGAGGAAAGGAGATTGAGCAAATAAGCCTAAAATTTTGTAGGCTGTATTTTTTATCATGAGAAACAGAGACAAATCCAGCCAGTGCCTTGGAATAATAAAGTCGTGTTAAATAGACACTTTGCATTAAGATCTTTTTCTCCTTGATAAATCATACATTTTCAATTGCAATTTTTTTTTCAAACAAGCAATTGCAAGAAGTGAGGTAAATAGATTGGGTATGCCATTTCTTTCCAATTTAAAATCATTTCCCTATATAAATTTACCCATTAATGATAAGGAAAATAGATATTATGCTTATTATGCCCTCCTAAAAATAGTATTGTGTAGACCATGAAGCAATTTTAAAAGATATGGCACCCTGGGGAAGTTTTAAACCTGTTTCCTTAGCTAAATATACACAAAGAGCTGCTTTGATCTTAAAAGAAATGCTTGCATCCAATGTTGCATTTATCTTTATAGTGTCTGCTGAGTATTAATTTTTGGAATATCAAATTAACCCTTTACCCCAAATAACTTATTAAACTGCAGTATGCAAATATCATCAACTTATCAATAAGCCTAAATATTTTGTCTAAATATCTGAGTATCAGCTTCCAACCAGATCAATATGAAATGCAATGCTGCTAAGCTTTCACTATTGTATCAAGTCATGTTGCTGACAGGTTACAAAACTTGCAGTGACAGGAGCAGCCAACATTAGCAGAATAACTCCTTATATAAACTGGAAAGCTATAGCCGGCTGGCAAGCTTGTTCTCCAGATACACTGAATTTCAATCCCCATAATCCTTAAATGCCTATATTTGTCAGTACATTTCTACCCTTCCTATCTGAGTTTCCTATCTACTGCTTAAGAATCCCTAAGGATTCATTCCAGGATTTATATTTATATTTATATTTCATTCCGCCAAGAAATGTATCTATAGCTGTGATTTTTGCAAAGATTAAATCCAAAAGGACAAACTTATTTTGCTCGCATAAAGAATGCACAAGTGTGACCCCTTAAGTACAATGTAGTACAGGGGTGTCAAACTCAATTTGAGGGCCGCATCAGCATTGCGATTGCCCTGGGGGGGGGGGTGACCAGGGTGGGTGCGGCCTACTGGGTGGGTGTGGATGGAGTGGGTGTGGCCTACTGGGTGGGCATGGCCAGCTCTACATCGTTCGCGTCAAGGGTGCCTGTGGGGGCCTGGGCAGGAGTGGGACAGATCTGAGGGTCTCTGGCAGAAGGGGGTGGGACCGGGGCAAGCGCCAAGGCATGGTCCATTTCTTCATTCCTCACAAAG